GGAGCGAGCGCGACGCGGCCAAGCACAGGCTGCTGGTGCTGGTCAAGGACAATGGCGAGCCGCCGCTGTCGGCCAGCGTCACGCTGCACGTGCTGCTGGTGGACGGCTTCTCGCAGCCCTACCTGCCGCTCCCGGAAGCGGCTGCCGACGCGGCCCAGGCCGACCCGCTCACCGTCTACCTGGTCATCGCGCTGGCGTCGATGTCGTCGCTCTTCCTGTTCTCGGTGCTGGCATTCGTCGCGGTGAAGTTGTGCAGGAGGGGCAGGGCCGCCTGGATGAGTGGCAGCTCAGTGCCCGAGGGCCACTTTCCGGGCCACCTAGTGGATGTCAGCGGCACTGGAACCCTGTCCCAGAATTACCAGTATGAAGTGTATCTGACAGGAGGCTCAGGGAACACCAGAGAGTTCAAGTTCTGAAGTCTGTTGCCTCCAATCATCACAAGTCGATTTGTCAATGATGTGGAGGAAAACTCTAACTTCTTAAACAGTTTTGGATTCAATTAGGAATTTGCTAAGTTTTCAGAGCATTCAAGTTGAAGGTTAGTTCTTTCTAAATATACTACATCTCCATTACCTTTTTTGGTCCATATAGAACTTCTTGGATATTTTATTTCATTTTCCAAGTTAAGAAGATTAGAAATTTTAAGTATTTCGATTTAGACAACAAACTTGTAACATTACTTCATTACTGAAAAGTCATGAATATTTGTTCAATTTATCAACTTTTCATCATCAACTACTACTGATCTGTAAATGACCCTAGCCCCATTCTCTGTTTGAATATTGTCCAGAAATATGTTCTAAATGTTTGATGTTGTGGTTACTTAGGAGATAGGCATGATATAAATATAACAAGTCACTAGTATATCTTCAGTTTACTATGATATTATGCATACGTGGCTTAATTTTTTAAAGGGAGAAACATCTGCAAATATTGCATGTTTTTGTTTCACAGTAGTATTAAATGGAAAAAACTTACAATTTCCCCCACACTTAAAGACATTTTATCTCTTTATATCAAACTTGAGTACATAATATACATGAGTATTATTTAAAAATCGGTAGATTTTTTCCTAGATATTTAAAATTATAGATCCCACCCCATCTCTTTCTGGAAATTTTTCTTTTCAGTAGACATCTACTGTTATAGCCATGTTTATTTTAATGATTCATCTTCCTCTCTGATTTCAGACAATCAAACAAAGTGGTAGACATTACTGATCCAATTGTACCAATCTGATTCTCTCTGGGTTTTTTTTTTTAGTAGCTTTAGAAACCAGATATGAAATAGTCCATCTGTTAGGAACTTAACAAGAAATATCATGTTGGCTAAAGCCATGAAAAGAAGCATAGAAAGCCAATACACTTAGAGGCAAGAAGGAAGGAGATGCCTAAAGAGTAACCTTGTACATTTTCCAGTCCCACCCAAGTCTGCTTTGCTCCTTGGGTTTTTGGAAACAAGTGCTCTTGTAATAAACTTTCCTCTAATTAAGAAGCTAAGTAGGTTTTTGTTTTCACTTGTTAAAAGCATGTTTAGATATTTTTGTATGGATTGAAACTTATTTTTTGTGGTTTTCATATTAATTTATAAATTGTGGTTTTTGTTTTAATTTAACAATATTTGGGTCTAAAGGTTGTGGAATATTAGTAGTCTATAAGAGACAAGCACAAGCTTTTGTTAGACTGTATACTTTTTAGAATTGATAGATTATTTCCAAATTGTACAGTTTGTGGAGTACTTAGTAGAAACTTAGAATATTCTACTATATAAGTTATAAATATCATTAGTGTCATAATAGCATTTGTGTGAAATAACACCGACAATGTAAAAAGTGTTTTAAAGAGATGTATACCTTATTTGTAAAATCATTATAGCCTGGTCGTTATGTTCTTTCTTTTTTTATAATATATTCATTTGTTGGGGGGGTAGCAAGAGTATTTTGCTATTTAATTAAAACCATTTTAAATCATTCCAAATTATTTCAAATTACTCTTCAAAAGAGCATGGAAAACAGCTGCTTGGGAACATGCTGTCTTGTTCATCCAGCTCATATAATGAACCAGAATCCTAGCAAAAAAATGGAGCTTTTCCATTAGGAAGAGAATCCGTCAGTCAAATTTTAAAAGTGAATTGTGATGTATTCATTGACCTATTCAATAAATATTTGTTGAGCATCTACCATGTGTCAGGGACTAGATGTTGAGGGATATAGAATTGAACAAAACAAAGCTCTGGAACTCAAGAATGACAGAAAATAAACATGTACATATATGCTATATCAGATGGTGATCAATGCTAAGGAGACAAAGCAGGGTAAGAGCTATAGGAAGTGACTTTATGCATTTCCCCATAGTTTGAGTTTCAAAAAACCATAGCTCTCTGACCCTATGTAGAAAGGGCATATAAACTGGAATTAACTGGTAGCTTTTTCCTTTATGTGATTCTACCAATGAGAACCACAACTCTGGCACATAGGCTGCCTAGAATTTGGAAGAAAATCTGGAGGAATTCATGCTTTTTGCTGAGAGAATTTAAAGAAATTACATAGGTATATATTGTTATTTTTTACAGGATGACTGATCACTATTAAATCTTCTTCCACTTTTCTGTTCTCCTCAGAGCACCCCATACATACTACAGGTTCTCTAGAAGGTAAAAACCATGTCTGGTCTGTTTACTGATGTATTTCAGAACCTAGTACATAGATATCAGTAATATTTCTTTGAATTAAGGGATGAATAATTATAGTTGCATGGTTTTGTAATTACATCATCTCCCTCAAACCACTTTCAAGCTCCCAGTAGATTATTGGGATAATTCGATAGATAAATTATTAGGATTACTAGATTTTTACAGGAGTATAGAGAGAATACAAGGTGGCGATTCTTTTCGAAGTAGTATTAAATGGAAAACGCATGGTGGCGCTGTAGGCTAAGGCGTCCAAAATAAAAAGCCCTGGAAATACTAGGACCTCAACCTCAGATCTCTAGCGGAAGAGAAAAAAGCCTGTAAATCGAGCTGAGGACCAGTGAGGCTCCAGAGAATGCTACTCACCGACATTTCTGGACAGGTCACCAACTGAGAGATCCATTACTGTCTCAGTCTCATCGCTTCCTAAGTTAGAGCTGGGTGGGCCCTGTTCCTGGAAAGGCGTCTGGGGAATAAAGATGGAAGCCGGAGAGGAGCGCTTTCCTAAACAAAGGCAAGTCCTGATTCTCTTTCTTTTGATGAGAGTGGCTTTGGCAGGCTGGGAATCCCGTCGTTATTCCGTGATGGAGGAAACTGAGAGCGGCTCCTTTGTGGCCAACCTGGCCAAGGACCTAGGGCTGGGAGCGGGGGAGCTAGCTGCGCGGGGAGCCCGGGTGGTCACTGAGGATAATGAACCCCGATTGCAGCTTGATCTGCAGACTGGGGACTTGATATTAAATGAGAAACTGGACCGGGAGGAGATGTGCGGCCCCACTGATCTATGTGTAATGCATTTCCAAGTGTTACTGAAAAAACCTTTGGGAGTATTTCGAGCTGAGCTACTAGTGAGAGACATAAACGATCATTCTCCTGAGTTTCCTGAAAGAGAAATGACGCTGAAAATCCTAGAGAACAGCTCTCCTGGGACCGTTTTTCCTTTGAAAAAAGCCCAGGACTTGGATGTGGGCAAAAACAATATCCAAAACTACAACATCAGTCCCAACTCTCATTTTCATGTTTCCACGCGTAACCGGGGGGATGGCAGGAAATATCCAGAACTAGTGCTGGACAAAGAGCTGGATCGGGAGGAAGAGGCTGAGTTCAGATTAACCCTCACAGCGCTGGATGGCGGCTCTCCACCCCGGTCTGGCACAACCCAGGTCCGTGTCTTGGTCTTGGACGTCAATGACAACGCTCCTGAGTTTGCACAGATGCTCTACCAGGTGCAGGTCCCAGAGAACAGCCCCGTAGGTGCCCTAGTTGTCAAGGTCTCTGCTAGAGATTTAGACACTGGGACAAATGGAGAGATATCATATTCCCTTTTTTATAGTTCTCAAGAGATAAGCACAACTTTTGAGCTAAATAGCCTTTCAGGAGAAGTTCGATTGATTAAAAAACTAGATTTTGAGACAATATCCTCATATGAGCTGGATATAGACGCCTCTGATGGTGGGGGACTTTCTGGAAAATGCTCTGTCTCCATTGAGGTGGTGGATGTTAACGATAACTCCCCAGAACTAACTATTTCATCACTTACCAGCCCCATTCCTGAAAATTCCCCCGATACAGAAGTGGCCCTGTTTAGAATTCGAGACCGAGATTCAGGGGACAACGGAAGGATGGCATGCTTCATCCAAGATGATCTTCCTTTCCTCCTAAAACAGTCTACAGAGAATTTCTACACCCTAGTAACAAATGGGGCACTGGACAGAGAGACCAAAGCCGAGTATAATGTCACCATTATAGTCACCGACTTGGGAACACCCAGCCTGAAAACTGAGCACAACATAACCGTACTGGTCTCCGACGTCAACGACAACGCCCCGGCCTTCACCCAAACCTCCTACACGCTGTTCGTCCGCGAGAACAACAGCCCCGCCCTGCACATCGGCAGCGTCAGCGCCACAGACAGAGACGCGGGCGCCAACGCCCAGGTCACCTACTCGCTGCTGCCGCCCCAGGACCCGCAGCTGCCCCTGGCCTCCCTGGTGTCCATCAACGCGGACAACGGGCAGCTGTTCGCCCTGAGGGCGCTGGATTACGAGGCCCTGCGGGTCTTGGAGTTCGGCGTGGGCGCCGTGGACCGCGGCTCCCCGGCGCTGAGCAGCCCGGCGCTGGTGCTGGTGCT